GGGTATTTGAAAAATTTACATGGGTTTGTTCCAGCCTGATAATCTCTTTCCGTGAAATGTAAAATAGAATGTGCAGAAGTCACGTAAAAAAGCTAAAACTGCCACAAACAGCAACTAAAGGAAGCGACTCCCAAAGCTGAGGGCCTCACCAATAAAGCAAAGACAAATCCAGCAAGTCTAGCGCCACAGCTGAAGGGTTAAATTATCCCTAAACCTAAAAGTTAAACACAGCAGCAAAAACTTGGGTCTGGTGACACACTCGCAAAATAAAAGAAAGAAGGAAAAAAAGTAAAACTGAAAGGTCACTCAAACTTCCTACTGAAAGATTAATAAAAGTTACAGGTAAAAAGAAAGAACACCCGTCAAATTCCTGTAAATGAAATAAGATCAAATTATTCAATAAACATGTTCTTAAGACCATGTCCAGCTTCTAAGAAAAGAATGTCAGAAGTCAGTCAGTCAGGAAAATAAGTATCGTTACCCTTTGCGGAAAGTAATATGATAAATCGACGAAGTGGTGTGGAATAGCAAGGTAAGGTAGCTAGCCACATTATCATGTGTTAACAGAGAAACGTTCAGCTCCTCATTGACCACAAGAAAAGGTAACCATAGTTTGTTTTCCTTTTCTTTTTCTTACTATGCATCGGTACTTCGCTCAATATTCTTCGTGGTCGCCACTCGCTGTTCCCTTAACTAAGCCGACACTGCCGGTTATTCATCACATAAAGGAGTGAGCAAAACACACTCGCTGGCTGCCTTGACCCTCTCTCTGTAGTGTTTTAAAACTTACGTTGCCTCGCTGACGTCAGAGACAAACATTTTTGATAAATATTTTCTTTTAATAGATACATTTAAATAAAGATTGGATGTGAGTAAAATGAAAAGCATAAAAAATGAAAACTGCAGATAAAAAATGGAACGTACTTATAAGAAATAATAAACAAAATGATAAATTGTTTCCCCTAAATTTCTAAATAAGACTGAAGTAAATTCGAGATCTTACAAATTCACGGAATGGTTAAAACACAAAAGTGAATAAAGCTTACCAAAGGAAGTCCATTAGAAAGTCTCATTACTGATTTGTAAATAGAACAGAGAAAAATACAAAAAAGGTGTGTATGTGTGTGCATATATATATATATATATATATATATATATATATATATATATTTATATATATATATATATACATGTACACATACACACACTATTACGAATCAGTGTACTTATAAATATTTCACTACTTTGAAGAAGCTAGAAGCCCAATACTTAATATTATCTAGGCTTGATACGTGGGCTACCGAGCCATACATAATAAAAACTAATAGTGAGTAATAGTGAAGGGTTTCATTTACTTTCTTTTACTTCTATAATTATGTAATTAAGATTTTTGTAAAGTGTTAAGATTGGTAGGTATTTATTCATAATCCTTATTTATTCTTTCATTTATAATCATTTATAGTCGCATGTATGATTATTATTTATACTCGTATTTATAATCATTATTTATGCTTGTAATTTACAGGTGACCATGAAAAGAGAAAACAAGTTCCTTACACTTAATTACTATTTTCTTATATACAATACCATCTCTGTATACGTCGACGCGATCTCTCATTGTAATCCCCCTAATCCTAAGTGTAACTCTAATCCAACCCTAACCAAGAAAATGCCGTAATGCAACCCAGAAAAATCAGCCCTAAAGCCCAGGGGCGGGATCGTGTAACGGCGGGCCAGCAAGGCCTCCTCGCTCCTCCGCTTCCTCGCCCCGACCCCCTCACGCGCATGCGCAGGGTTAGGGCAAAGGCGCAACGACACCCGGGTACCCGGAACCACCTAATTCAGGGTAAACTACCTGACAAGTTACCTGGGCTTGTTACAAGACGTATGCATATACATACACACACACACACACACACACACACACACACACACACACACACACACACACACACACATATATATATATATATATATATATATATATATATATGTATGTATGTATGTATATATGCCCACACACACACACATACATATATATATATATATATATATATATATATATATATATATATATATATATATATACATATACATATATATGCATATATACATATAAATATATATATATATATATATATATATATATATATATATATATATATATATATATATATATAAATGTGTATGTGTGTGTGTATGTATAACAACTCATTTTGTTTTTCTTCTCCCACTCACTCAGGAAATCGCCTTCAACGCCCTGTTCTCCCTCCTCTTGCTGACGGCGGGCGTGGATGCCCTCAAGGCCGTGGGCAACGTTTACAGAGACGACTTCAACAGAGAGTGCTTCGCCATGGGCATCGTCAGCATCGCCGCCTGCCTAACATACCTGCTGGATGCAGTGGTTTGCGTGAGGCTGTACAGGAACAACAACTGAGAGGAAGGCGGTTGAGGCCTCTTGGTACTGACTGATCTACGTCTCCAATACGTACTTTACAAAAGCAGTTATACACACACACACACACACACTCACACACACACACACACACACACACCATGTATACTTCCCGAGGATAGATTACATATAAATCTAACCTGCATATACTCATTACAAGATATTTGTTAGATTTTTCTTTTAAAATAAAATCAAAATGTCTCCAAATCGTATACTAGTATCAAAAGGCGTGCTTGTGGGACCAAAACACCATAAAAGTGTAGTAAATGTTATACCCATTGGTGATCTTTGACATGTAAAAAGACATAAGGCATGAGAATACAGGTGTTCGTCGATCTTTGTGACCCATGTTAGTCTTGACGAAATGTTTTTGTCAGCACAACCGCTTTTATTCTTAGTGATGGTAAGAAGGCTGTCTTTACAGCGTTCTGCACAATAAATGCAAATCTTTATATCATTTTCTTTCCATCCCTTAATTGAAAATTCAGTGTGATATCTATGTATTATACATAATTATATCGGCATTACAATCATTGGAAGCTTGAGTCTTACTGTACCGATGGATTCCTGTGGTCGCTCGAATACTTAAGATGCTCACTGTCTGGAAAAGGGATTTTGACTCCTTGAGTTCTAAGATTGAATGGGATTGAGGAGTTCCCATTGGGGTGTTTCATCTTTAAAGTCCTAAAAGACAGTTCTTGACTATTTTTTATGGTTAAGGTCAGATCATATAATATGAAGAATATCCTTTAAGGCAATAAATTGGCACCTTTTTACTAGCTAATATCTTAACATCTTGGTTATAAACGGTCTCAACTTTGTGTATTGGTATTAAAAGCGTTACTAATCATAAATCAGTAACTAAGTACATTCACGATATACATTCATTAGAATTCCTTGATGACTGATAACGTATGAATTATAACTGCAGGCGCAATACAGTTGCATCTGAAGTCATAAGGTCATCATCATCATCAAGGGGCTAACGCCGAAGGGGCGCATGACCGCGTCCACCTTTCGCCTCCAGCCACGAGGGTCCCTCATGACGAGTCTCCATGCAGGCCCTCAGCCAATCTCTAACTCCTCGCGGCAGTTCTCGTTGAGCTGCCCAAGGCATTCCACGGGCCTCCTCCACCCAGGATTGTCTCGCAGAGAGACAACCTGATGGGCAAGATCATCCACAGGGAAACGAGCTAGGTGCCCATGTAGCTTGAATTGGCGTTTATGGAAATAACAGGCCCTATGCCAATCTCATGGTGTAGCCTAGTCCTGCCAAATGTACCCCATGATCTGGCAAAGAAATGCATCAAGACAAGACTCCAGTGCACTAGATAGCGTCCAGGTTTCGCTTCCATAGAGCAAAACTGGCAGTATCAAGGCCTTGAAGATATGTAGCTTGGTGATGATCGAATTCATGGCTGCCAGACCACTCCTTCTATTGACTTCTTGGCCTGACAGTCCGGACATATTGTCTACACTACCAAAGTATGCAAAGCTCTCTCTGACTTCAGCGTCCTCACTGCAAGCATGGATCAACTGAACGGGTTCCCCTAACAGGCCCTCAAAGTCTGGAATCTTGGTCTTGGAACAGACCAAGATTCAGAATCTCCCATAGTGATTCTCTAAGTAAGTCAAATGCTTTCTTGCGGTCGATGTGGGAATGGAATGGAACTAGACTGCCAGTTGACAGTCAAGACTGCATGCAAGCCCCGTCCCATGGGTTCACTCACAGCTTTTAGCAGCTTAGCAGGGATATCACATATGCCTACAACTTTCCCACTCCTCAAGCCTCTGGGCTAGTACAGTGGTAACGTGTAGGCCTTTCATCCGAGGGGTCGGCGGTTCGCGCCCCGCCCAGGCACGAGAAGTTGCAATTGTCGCCTGGAGGTTAATGTTGTGGCTGGGCACCACGGTGGGTAAGGACTAAGCTCATCCGAGTCAGCACCTGCTGACACTCTGTTAGCGAGTCGACATTAGTCGGCATAGGCCTTGCTCCCCCATAGCCCGGGCGAGGCTCAGCTTGCTCTTCCTTGCTGATGGGTGGGTTCAGCACAGGTTAACTCAGCACAAGTTAACTCACGAACCCCAACAATTATGAAATGATCCGTCCATCCACTGAGCGGACTGCAGTCTTCTGTGAGGAGGGATTACAGTTAAGCTTTCTCAGGGCTTGGTAGATAGGTTATAGGTCATTTACCATGGAATAACCTTCAACCTCCTCAGTAAGATTCCTGATAAACAGTTCCTTATCCCTTTTCAGAAGTGAAACCACGTAAACTAAAACCACGTAAAAGGTTAACCCATTCGCGCCGGGTAAAAATGAACAAAAAAATGGGGGAAATGCTGTGCTCATTTTTTATATTTTTTAATGAAATTTCTCTACACTAGATGGCTCTGTTTTATCGGATTTCATTTGGCGGGAAAATGTATTTTTACTAGTGCTATGAATATCGATGGTTATTTTTATTATAAACATTATAATTACTATAATGTTATAAACATTAGTAACAGCAAAATAAGATAACGCAAAATAATTTCGCAAATT